ACACACATCGCACAGGCAGTAATGGTCCCACCACGTCTCCCTCACCGCTAACCATAGCCATAGTAAGCTCTGACAGCAAGAACATGGGGCTTGTTCCTGGAATGTTCTTCCCTGTGTTTCTAGCAGCAAGATATCATGACTCGGCCACCCTACCATCAGGACACTGTCAACAGGACAACTCAACAGCTGGGGCTTGATCTGTCAATAAGCGTTTAGTGCTAGCACAGCACCTCGCATAGGGCATGAAGAAAGGATTCCATAAATGTTAAATGAATGAACAAAATAAACCACCGAAATAAGCAGACCAGAAGAGTGCAGTGGTAGAGGGAACATTTGCAGGGTAAGGCACTATGATTTAGGAAATACTAAATGGTGTCCCCTTAATGCTGCAACATCTTCTCTTCTGGGCCTGTTATCCCTTCCAGATCAATGGAGAATGAACTTTCTGCTGCCAGATAGAAAGTATATTCAACCTGATGAAGTACAGCACCAAAGGTTTCCTAACACTAATGGTTCCCAGCTTGGGAACCATTCATAGCAATAATGCATTAGTTTTTGCTGCTAGTACTCCAACAGTAGTTTTTGCACATGATCTTGGGATCAGATAATCATAACAACTGGGGAGTCAGTTCATTTCGAATTTAGTTTGCCTTCCTGCCAAGGCTTTGCATGTATGTCATCACTGGACACCTGAATGAAATAGTAATTTGGGGATTTTTTTTTTTTGTTTTTCTTTTTGTGCTCCCAGGTGAGCTTTCCGTGGAGGAGGCGCAAGACCCTTTCCTGGTTAGCATCCACATAATCGCAGACCCAGGTGAATCCCAACCCCTGCAGGAGGCCATCGACAAGGTCTTGGCTTGGATCCACCCAGACTTGCAGCTGTTCCGGGTGTCCGAAAGGAGGGCTTCCCGGCGGCGGCGGAAGCCACTGAAGGTGGCGCAGCCCGCGCTGGCGGTGGTTCTCTTCCTGCAGGAGGAGTACGGCGAGGAGCAGATCCTGCAGCTGCACCGCACGCTGCAGCGGCCGCCCTGGCGCCACCACCACACGGAGCGCGTGCCCGGCAGGTTCCTGCCTTACCTGCCCTGCAGCCAGGACTTCTTCACGCTGGCCCCTGGGACGCCACTGTGGGCCATCCGGCCTGTGCACTACGGCCGGGAAATCGTGCGCTTCACTGTCTACTGCCGCCATGACAACTACGCAGACATCCTCAAGTTCTATGAGCTGATCCTCAGGCGGAGCCCCACCCAGAAGAAAACGGACTTCTGCATCTTCCCCATTTTCTCCAACCTGGATGTGGACATCCAGTTCTCCCTGAAAAGACTGCCCTGTGACCAGAACCCGGTCCCCACCGACTCCTCTGTGCTGGAGTTCCGCGTCAGGGACATCGGCGAGCTAGTGCCTCTCCTGCCCAACCCCTGCAGCCCCATCAGTGAGGGGCGCTGGCAGACCGAGGACCACGATGGGAACAAGATCCTTCTGCAGGTATGGGGCTGTGAGGGCGGGGGGAGTCTGTTTGCGGGGACCAAGAAACAAGCGGGTTGGCTCTGCCAGAAACACCAGTTAGTATACCTGTTACAGAAAAGTGAGTTAAGAAGAAGGAGGGATCAATGACCCTCTATCTGGACTTACACTAAGTCAAGGTGTTCATACTCTACGCCAACGAGGAGGCTTGGGGGCTGTTCCCATTGATTCTTTTCACTCTACTGCCATGGCCATGTGCCTCAGGCAAGCAACTACCAATCCCCCTCTCCCCTCAATGCCTCTTCACCTGTGTTTGAACACCCACTAAATGCTCGTGGCTCCTGGGATTTCAGATGAGCTTACATCCTGGGGAACTTGTTAGTAGATTCCTGAATCTACTCCCTCACACTTAAGGAGTTTTTAACCAATGTATTCTTTACTCCCACAAAGGAACATAAGTAAAACCCAACTCTGAAAATAGTAAAACATATCACATTCAGTAGAGACGGTATCTGTTTTCTTCCTCACTCTGGTGCCACCCCATCTGCCCTTCCACCGCTGGGCAGTGATCGCTTGCAAAATGACTTTCTCATAAACATTTTAAGGAGTAAGTGATGCCTTTGGAGCTTCTGGTTTCATTAAGCTTGGGAAGGGGTGAGTGAATACATTTTAAGGAAATGGATGCAGTAGATTATCCAGTTCCTTCCTTGGTTAATGCCTTTGCTCAATTACTGGACCCCTTTCTCCTTCCATCCTTCCGGTAGCTGTCCAACACTCTTTCAAGATCATTAATTACATTCTGAATTCAAAATTCAGCATATAGTTTTAAGAATGTCCGACACCTGGCCCTACCTATAAATGCTTTCCAAACCCAGGCTTTCTTGAATTAACATATAAATCAGTTTGAGGAATGTAGAACTTTGTTTTTCTGAAAAGCCTCTGCCCGGTGAGTTTTCACTTTTGGCTACCTGAAAGGAGAAAACTGATAGCAAATTAGTGGCCATTGTCTTGAAAGGTGCTGACTGTAGTTACTTGAATCACAGGTAAAGTTTCAGTGTTTGTTGGTTTTGGCATTAACCATCAGAACAGTAAANGTGGTCCCTCCTCCAAAAAGCCTTCTCAGATACCCTCTGGAGAAAACATTGCTCCTTCCTTTGTCATGTGGTAGTAAATTGGAATTGCATCATGCTCATGTTTAACTCACACAAATTGGAGAATACATGCTCAGTCAGAGAGAGGGGGAGTTTAAATAATTCCACCCACCATTCTACCCCATGATCATGGGAGTACTCAGACTTGACTCTGCTGTTACCGTAGTCATCCTTTGGTTCCAGAAGCCTTTTAAGCTCTCAGAATCCTCTTGTAGAGTGAAAGGTATAGCCTGAGTGTGTGTGTGTGTGTGGGGGGGGTCTAGACTATTCTTTTATAACACAGCCATGAAGCAAGCCTGCTGTTTCACCTGGTGTTCAATCAAAGGAACATCTGTCTGGCTGTGTTATCTTGCTGCAAGTCAGTACCTTCAGTACTGTATTGGAAATTTAAGAGACTTTCAGTGGTAACAGTGTCTATAAGTAATTTATTTCATGGTGACTTTAGAATCCAACCGCTGCCTAAGATACTACTCTACTGTATTTCCTATAGGCACATATCAGATTGAATTTTAATTTTTTATATCTTTGTTTCCCAACTAAATAATGAAGTGCTCATTTGTGGCTTATGGTTCTTTAGAGGGCTGCTTACTGCCTATGGTTGCACAGGCTGTGCACTGCACAAGTCTAATGGTGCATTATACACACCAGAGTCTATGTAAACGGACTCCCATAGTACTCAGTGGTACTAGCTTCCTTGTCTCCCCAGTGCCTAGTACATATTGATTACTCAAGAAATGTGTGAATGAATGAGTGAGAGAAAAGGCAACAACAAACTAAACTAACTATTCCCAAGTGAGATATCTAATAGTCAAGAGTTGGGGTGAAAATTCAGACAGGTTTTGATCCAACAAATTGAAAACCGTGTTATTACAGGTGCATATGATGGAATGTACCTGTAAGCCCACTTGGAATGTCTTCTTTACCTAAACAACAGCAATTACCTTTCGTCCTGTGACTTGGTCAAGATTCTGGTCCCTAAAAGCACATCACACTCCTCAGACATTATTGACTGCATGATCGCCACATGCCTAACACCTTAGTGGACATTGTGAGGCATGTGTGTGAAGACAGATCTAGATTCTAGATGACTGTAGCCCCCAAGTCACAACAGACTCCCACATTTCTTGATTGCCCTTGGATGAGTCATAAAGCTTATATAAAAATGCAAATAAGAGCCATTTTTTCAAAGAACAAGACTTTTATCAGGTTATCTGATAAAATATGCTGAATATTTCTGAATTAGAAATATGCCAGTGTGGCCAGCAAACTGTTCACCCCATGGGAAAGTGTTGCCAAGTTAAGCAGTCAACTCCACACTTGGGAGTCAATGCTTCCAGATGTTCTGCCAGAGGATATAGGGAGAGGAACTGACCCATTCAGGATGTATGGGCTTCTGGGTGGACACGGCCTGAGGAGAGGCCCAACACACANCAGTTTCAGAGCCCAACCAAGCAGGCTGAGGTTTGGGTCAGGAAACCAACAGGATGATTTTAGAAAGGGTGACTTGAGAGGTGAGAAAGCACACTGGTGAGGAGCATGGAGACCCCAACTGGTCTTTAACAACTCAGTTAATATTTCACCTGCAAAATGGGGAGAATACACCTTTGTCGTAATGTGGTTTTAAAAATTCAATTAGATAATATATGCAAAGCTTTCAGGACAGCATCTGGCAAATAATAAGAGCTTAATACACGGTTATTTTTATGTAAGTTATTTTCTGTTCACGTTAACGGACCCCAAAAAAAGGAATATACAGGAGAGGTGAAATATTGGGGAAGAAAAATGTAACAAATACTCAAGTTGCTAGTACCCTTTCTGCCTCATAGAAGGTCTGAACTCGTGCAGTGCTTTACTTAAAGTTGTTTTTGTCTTACATTCTGAAAGGAAAACCTAATTGTATATAATCACATAGGAAATAATCATCCTTGTCCTCATGGGAAGCACAAACTAATCTGAAGCTGTGTTCATGTTGCGTGGACAGCTCCTGTCCTCTAAGCAGCCCTGGGGAGGCCCGTCCATCGCCCGGTCCGTTTTTGGTCTGTGCCTTGCCCTGACTGAACAGGTGCTCTCTGCGGTCCTTCAAGAAGACGTGTAACAGATATGATAAAGGCAGAGCGTATCCCCATAGTCGCAGCGTCTCTGCTTCTCCAGGGAGGCGGACAGGCTTTTCATGACAATTAATTATTCACATTTTCTCTCCTTCCCCTCAAATGCTTGGTTTCCTATCTAGCTCCGTGGAGGCAGATTTTTCTCTGGGGCGTGTGTAACCTGAACCCCCTGATGGCAGTTTGGCGCTGCATTCTGTGGCTCTCTGAGCCTGTTTATCTTAGACTCATGTGCAGTGGGCACATGCTGGCGATGGCCTGAGCCTACTAACGTTGCCGCTCCTTGTCCTCCCTCTTCTCGGGGCAGGATTTTAGCCACTGACATCTCCCTGGTTCTTAAGAGTGCAAAAGGAGGAGAGCTATGGAGTTGGGTCAATTGGCCGCACCCAGAGCTGCCCAGGCAAGCTGGTGCTTGAGCTGGTGCGTGGTCCAGTGCCTTCTAGCCCCACCCCCCTGCTTCGTCCGGGCATCTTGCCCTTTTGCAAAGCTGTGAACATTCACTCATCCGTGCAAGCTCAGCGTGGTCTTTGTTACTGCTCTCTGGTAAACTTTTGTGCAGCTGATAGAGATGGCCTGATACTGAGCATCCTGACAACTCTGTCTTGAAGACTCAGAAGCTGCCTTACTCCAGGTCTCTTCACGCCGAGGTGCTCACGCCCATCTGCAGGCTTTCCCTGTCACTCTTCTGCTTCCCTTTCACTGTTGCACCCACCTGCAGTGCTGGCCTCTTTTAGTTGCCCTCGGGGATGGTGCTCAGATGTAAAGACCTGGGCATGTGCCATGGGGAGGCCGTTTCTGGGTTATTCCTCAGACTCAGGGCCAGAAGAAAGAGATGTAAATGGTTGTCCAAGACATGAAGCTATTGGCTGGTGGCTGAGAAGCCAGCCAGTCAGAAGGAGGCAGGCGAGCAGTAGAGAGAGGCAAAGTAGTAGTATTGTGGCCAGAGGTAGCTGGAGAGTGACAGCTGCTCTTTCTGCTGTCAAACGAATCCAGCAGAGAGCATGAGCACGCGTCTCTGCAGATCTGTGGGGTGACTGTGCACATAAAGTTAGATGCTAGATGATGCCCTGGGCAGGTTACTTCACCTCTTTGTGCCTCAATTTCCTNGGAGTTCCTTGATGAGCAAGTCCTTGGGATAGGCTTTGGTTGGGATAGGCTTTGGTTAACACCCTCCTCTCTTGTCTGTTTTGTTTTGATAAATGTACTTTACTTCTTAAAACAGGAGCACATTCTAACCCTGTCGTTTGCAAGCCCTGAGGCCTTGTCTCCAAATCTACAGAATTCTGTTGAAGTTCTGGCTCTCTCAGGATGCTTTGCTACTGATGAAAATGACAAGACATGATGTAGTCGAGAAAGAATGGAAATTACTGAGTAGAATAAAGGATTCTGTGTAAAATACTAGATATGTCAGTCATTTTGAACCCGTTAGCTTTTTTATGCACAAAAGGTCTTAGTACCTTATTAAGCATTGGACACTGGTGTGTGTCAGACTGTGTTACCTTCTCATAAACTTTCAAAATCATTATAGTCCTAAGGACTTAAATCACTACACTAGATATGTTTAAGTGTTTTTAGCTGCATTCATAGCTACTCAGACTAATGATGTATCAACGGTCCTCTTCCGGAAGGCAGGTCAAGCTACGTCGGAATTTAGTGTCTTTGTCACTACTCTCTGGGTAGGGTCTGGCCTTTGCTTCCTTCCCCCTCCTCTTCCCACCTGGAGATTTGTTTCAATGAAAATTAGAAATACATTTTAAGTAAAATG